ATGCAATATTATTGTTGTTAGTCTCTTTCATTCTGAATGGTCACTGGTTCAGTGGTAGGATACTCAGCAACCACATATGTGGTCCAGAGTTCGGTCCCCTGCTGACGCATTCCTTTATCTCGATGAGCCGGTAGTGAGGCTGGTAAACAGGGAAGGTTCGGTGTGAGGTTAGCAACCCTACCACCTAAAAATAAACACTACAGCTAGTGAAATTTCAAAGGTTTAACTTGTCGCCCTGTGTTCCGATCAGAACGTAAACGAATAACTGAATGCACTTGTAGGACATTTTCCATACGAATGTACACGGTTTAGAGGTCATCCTACAAGATCACGCCTTTAACAGAAGCCTTAAAACAATGTATAGCATAACGCAAACAGTTGTAAACGATTTCGTTGTTTATTACAGTCAAAAGGCATTGAGTGGCATTAAAAAATTGTTCAGTCAATATACATATGATAAGAATAAATATAATTAACAAGACATTTAAGAGAGTAGGGTTGATTCTCTTGAAAGACCTATCTAGAGTTAATATGCGTACAAAAGATATGTGGATGATGCCTTTATTGTTTGTGATGACAAGTGTTCACATGCTGACTGCCTCATACAGTGTAACGTCTGACAACCATCAATCTTTTTAACTGTCGAAGAAGAGCCAAATTTCACAATTCACTTCTTATATATTAGGCAGGAGACAGGGAGGCTCATTAGAAGGGTAAGTCTACTGAAAGTCAACCTTTACAGGGTAGTATACACACCTCAATAGTTGGCTACCTCTGTCTGTGTCTCAGGCTTCTGAAACTTGAAAACCTTCCTACAGCATTCTCAAATGGAAGATATCCTAGAAGGTCTACCAGTTACCCAATTTCCATTCTGGTATTTTTCATAGTAGATGTTTTAAATGGATCCTAGTTTGATTTTCATCTCATTGAAACCGATAACTTTGACATCCTCAGTTAAGAGATGTGAATATTACTCATGAGCCTGAATTTTATTTATCAACCCCAAGGTACTGCTCTTTATTTTTCTCATTATGATTGTCATTACTATTATAATTTGTACCATACGTTTCGAGTGGAATACACGGCTTCAGCAGAATATGTACCTTCTATTCGTATCTCTGCCATCGATTCCAGATGACTCCAAGACTGTTTACAAGCTTTCACTTCCTCTTCACGTGATTTTCTGGATGTCACACTTGCACGCTTAACCTATCGCTTCCTTTACGAGTTCCACTCGATATGTGATGTCACCTAATGGGTTCACCTGGCATATATCCAACCCGTGTTCACTTCTATCTGTATATTTGTTCGGTATTATGTTCTTGGTTGATTCCCTAGAAAAATAGTTTGTTTTTCCATTGATACAGACAGATAAGAAAGTTCTATCTTCCATACTTTGAAGACACTCTATGCTTCTGCCTAGGTTTTTTTCATCTTGGTAAAACATAGGAGCAGGAAATCCCCACTTCCTTTACACACAAACATATATCACAAAAGTGTTTCAACTATATGCAGCATAAATGACAAAGTCAGTCTAGAAATCTGTCGCATTGAGCATAAAGAAACAAGATTCAGATTATCAACATGTTGCTCTCTCTGTATGCATCAGAGATTTGGTGCACAGAAATACATCCCCAGCAGGCTACTGCAGACATTTATCAATAGCTGTTTTTGATCGGCGCCGATGACGTGATGCCTAGAAAGGACCATTAACAAGAAGTTCTGGCAGCGCAGTGAAACAGGAAATAAGCAGTTACCCTAAAATTATGCATAAGGCAATGGAGATAGACGGGATATAGGCTGGGGAGACTGTTGAATTACATCTTACACCAGCTCCTTGAGTGGAACCCGAATGGGATAGTTTAGCAACTGAAGGTGAAGCAGAGCAGATCGTGTGTGATGAAGAAATGAGAATCTATGGTCAGTCGTGGAGCCAGCTAAAGAGGACCGCTGAAATCAGGATTAAAAGTGGGGAGGTATGCTGTTGAAGTCATGTGTTTCACTCAAAACTCAAGGCAATAATAACAACACATATTTTTGTAAAATCTCAATGAAACTGACGTATGCAATTCCAACGCTTCGTTCGACAAACTGGTCTGAACTTCAGGGAAATTAATCAAAATTAAAGTAACAGAGGTTTATGTATAAAAAGGACACTTGTTGTCTTTAAAACCCTTGTCCCATCATATGAGTTATGAACAATCATGAGAATATAATAAACGAAATTGCATGAACTGCAATCAAAAATTTGACTACAGACTTACAGTTTTTAGTCTATTTTTGTTAAGCCGTGTGTACTTTTGCATCAGACTTTTTAAAAAAGAAAATTCGGATAAAATAAGGCGAATTCTTAAAAATCATGACATTTTTTGTGTAGCGGACATCTTACGCTCATCACCCGTGATGGTTAAGGATAAAATACAAGTAGATTACCAACAAAATTGCGTACGCTGGTTAAAGTATTGGCATTCTGAGTCAGTATATGCAGGAGGAACTTCCAGACAGGTGAATGTAAGAGTGAAAGAGCATAAACAATGTCTAAAGGCGGTTCCAAAGACCTCTGTAGACTTAAAGAAGCTGGAAAATAGATGAGAGATTGCATTGCACTCCACAGAAATGGGTGACAAGATCGACTTTGATAGGACTAAGGTTCTACAGAAAGTTTTGGGTTATATAAAGGACCCAAAAGTTTGAACAGACGTGAAGATGTGATTTTAGCTGTTTCATGTCAATTCCTGATTAATAAATAAAAATGGATATGTATCAGGCATCAGTCATACATGATATAAATTCCCGATTGTCTATATCTTCTTATGGAGAGGCTAACAAATGAATTACAATTGTTGCTGCATTCACACATGCACACATACGCACACCATTGTATACCAAATATACACATATATATTTTTTCATATTCAGTTATCTACGACCATGAACTTTAGTAGAATGTAATCACTGAAATTCCCTAAAGTTCAGACCAGTTTGCCGAATGAATCATTGAAATCACACTGTTAACGAAGTATACTTTTTGCGGAGAATTAATTAAATCTATAAAATTTTGAAGTCACAAACATTGAGTCATCATATGTAAACCAGATATAGTAAATATGATAGAGAAGATTTGTAGCTCAGGTGGATGATTTTGATGTGGTTGTGTGCTCTGAGCTGGATAGTTAATTTGAGAAGCTCTAGAAAATCGAAGGCATCCAAATAGATGAACAAGAAATAATGATATCCTTCGATGTCACAGCATTATATACCTCAACTGGACAAAAACTAGCAAAGGAGACCATGAAATAATTACTCAGCAACGACGAACACCTCCCACAACAATCAAAAATGCAACACACAAGCTGGATGGAATGCATAAACCTATGCCTCACAACTTACTTCCAATTCAACGGCCAAATATATGAACAAGTCAAAGGAACACCAATGGGATCGCCAATATGAGGTTTGATTGCAGAAGCAGTGATGCAAAGGCTCGAAAACATAATCCAACCAAAGATCAAACCCAAGATTTGGATACATTACGTAGACGACACATTTGTAATAATCAAAAGAAACGAATTAGATAAAACTCACAACTTAATAAACAACATCTTCAACGGCATCAAATTCACAAGAGATGAGGAATCCGAGAAAAAATCCCATTTTTGGACGTCTTAGTCAAGCGAACAACCACAGGGGAATTAGAAACCCAGGTTTATAGAAAATCAACTCACACTGATCATATACTGAATTACAACAGCAACAACCCAATAACACACAAAAGGAGTTGCATACGAACACTATCCAAGAGGGCCAGGACTCATTGCAGCACTCCAACCTTAAGGGAGATTGAAGAGAGATATCTCATAGACGTCTTTCAGAAAAATGAATATCCAAGGAAGTTCATCAAAATACATATACCCCCAAGCCAACCTATCAAACCAAAATTCGCCAAGGAAAGCACAGAGAAAGTCGCCCTGCCAAATATAAAGGATGAATCAGAAATCACTGCAAGACTCGTCAAACCTTTAGGAATTGACGTCACACACAAACCAACAAAAGCACTTCACTCAGTTCTATGTCAACCAAAAGACTAAACAATGAAAGAAGATAAAATCAACATCATCTACAAGATAAATTGTAACAACTGCGAAAAACATTACATTGGCCAAAGTGGACTTTACCTTCATCTTCGTATCCGTGAAGATAAGCTAGCAGTCAAAAGACATGATATCCACTCCCTCATATCACTACATACAGACAACCACGGACATCAATTCGATTGGGACAACGTTCAAATACTAGACAGAGGAAACAACAAGAATGCTAGAGAATTTTTAGAAGCTTAGTATTCCAGTGAATCATCAATCAATAGACACATCGAGATAGACAAAATTTATCAACCGATAAGAAAGAAGCCTCACACACAAAGAGTCAAAGTTCAAGTCAAAGAAACAATCACTTCTAATACAAGTAGCCTAGAAGGTGTGAAAAAGCACAAAAACAACCAATCACGTCCAAGGTCACCGGGAGAGATGGTTGATAAACTCGTGGAGAAATCTAAAAGCTCACTTCAAATTGAAGTATGCGCTGAAGATGTGAGGAAAGCTTCGCAAATTAACTATCCAGCTCAGAGAACACAACCACACCAAAAAAAGATATAGTAGCAAATTCATACGAAATTACCACGATGTTGTGTGGATTGATGTGTGTGCGTTTTTAGTTTTTGTGATATTTATCTGTCTAAACGAGTGAATCATAATCATCAGTAACTGAGAATTAGAGAAATCATTATTTTTCGAAATACACCCACGCAATTACCAACTAATTTTACTACGGACCAATCAAAATAAAAGATCATTATTGAAAAAATTATGATTGGTTAATCCAATAAGAATATTACCTATTATGTAATAATGATTTTTATATATCCTTTAATTTGAAAAAAACACAGCATAACTTACTTAGGTAACACTCATTTTGAAAATCAACACGTACAGTGTCTATTTATGTATGGATTGTCAGGCGAAAACGAGGATAATACAACTGTCGACAATATGAATAACTCCTTCGATATAATTCTTAATGAATGTAATCAAACCGTGAATTTCTCTGAGATTATTACCTCCCCATCGATAATCATTTCATTCTGTATAGCGTCGACAATTAATCTATGGATATTTGGTTCATGTCTGTTTGTTATCATTATACTACTGAAAACAAAAAATAAACGTTTTGATGCAACACGTAAATTCTTGATCAATTTGGCTATCACTGATTTCGGTTTCGCCTGTTTACTAATGCCTATTTCTATTGCTTATATTATCCTCAAAGTGAATTGGATCCCGTGTCATATTCTGTGTCATTTATGGATTATAGCTGATGTTTATTTCTGTTCAACAAATATGTTCAATTTAGTTGTTATCGCTTTGGATAGAATGATGGCGGTAAATTACGCCGTGAAATATAACCAGATGATGTCGAATACACGTGTACGCCTCTTGATACTACTGATATGGATTTTAGCCTTATTTATTACACTGCCATTGTTGATCAGCCTACTCTGGAATTATACAACATCAACAACAACAACACAGAATATGTTAACTATAGACACAGACTATTCATATTCATATCACATTGGGAATACATGCTTGAAGTACCCGTGTAGTTTAATCAATGTAAGTGTATATATACGAATATTTATTACACTAGGCGCAGTCTATGTGCCAACAATTTTAATATGCTATTTTTATTTTCATGTATTTTCTAAAGTTGTTGTAAATAAACGTGGCATTTCAATCGGTTTACTAATCGATAATGAAAGAGTATGCAATAAGAAGAGTGATAAAAAGTGTGCTACTATGTCAAAAAACAATACTGACACAAAGGTGACTACCACTAATTATACTGATAAGAATAATACTTCTGACGAGCAAGGCGACGTCAATAATAATAATGATAATAATGGTAATAATAAAAGTAATGCAGGCAATAAAAGGAATTATAAGTCGAACTGTGGTCTTTTAAGAGTTCATGTCGGCGGTAGACCATTTCAAACAAATCATATCAGTAATACAACAGCACAGACAACATTGTCCACACCGACAGCTGCTAATGCTACTACTAATTATCCCTATCATAGTAGTACAAGTATTAACAAACCTAACGATGATACCGTACACAACGACAACAAGAAGGAATTGACAAAAAGAATGGAAGACACGCCTCCTCTGTAACATTAAATTCACCGATACACAAGTCATCAGACAGTGAACATCACCAACATCTTCATCAACGTGAAAATCAATCACAATTGTGTATTACCACTGGACTGGTAAGAAAAGAAAGGCATGAATCTGATTGTGGTCCATCAAGACGTAAATTCAATGAATTATTTTTAGCTGATTTAGAAAAATCGAATTACAAGTCAAAAAGTAGTAAAAAGCTTTCGAGTACACTGTCTGAAATGACATTTAAAATAAATCGAAACAGGCTGGATGTTACACCCTGCCACCAACAGCAACAGCAACACCAGCAACAACAACCTTTCAAAAGAAAACTTAAAAATATCCTACGTAAACATTCCTTTCATACCCTATCCTCAGAGGCTAGTTTAAAACCTTTCGACGTGATGCATTCAAGACGTTCAACTGGAAAAAATGATAAAGATGCTAAATTTACAGATATCAGTACACTACGCAGATGTGCTCTAATGCCATTACATCCAAGTGCAGCCTGTTCATCTATCAGTAATGAGTACATCTATTCAGCAAGAAATTCCGAGAATATATCCAGTCTGTCAACAACACAAATGACTCCAAGAAATAGTAATCCAATTGATCAGTTCGGATTACCTTCCGGCGATGTGCCATTATCCCCTTCAGGATTTAGTACTGCTTATAATTCCTACAGAATTAATGTAAAGCACACAATTGAAATTAAAGCCGTCTGTATGTATTTGATAAATATCAGTTCAATTGTCTTTTGTTGGTTACCATTTTACACTATCGTATTGTTTACAGACTATATGCCGAGTGTATGTCTTTCATCGTTGACAGTTTATGATATTTTCTACTGGTTGAAATTTGCTTGTATAGCATTGAATCCGATTATCTATGGTTCTGCATCAGAAGACTTGCGTAAAGCCTTTAAACGCTTTATTCTACACTGTGGTAAAGTGAAAAAGGAGAAAAAAGCATTGAAACGGTTAGTACTAGCTGGTCTAGGCGCAGCTGGTATCCCCTATGGGCATAGAATTATCATCCCGCCACAGAAGTGTAGCAGTAACACCAATAAGTCAGTTGTATTCAATAAACCATTGATGGTATTAACGGATACAGAGGAATGACTACAGGCAGAAGAGTATGTGTGATTTTATTATTATTATTATTACTGCTATTATCATTATTATTATTGTTATTATTTTTTATGAAACGTTTTTTCTACAAAAGCAGAATGTAATTACTATTACTAATATTGTTACTATTATTATTATTCTTATCATTATTTTTCATTGTGAATGCCTAGTCATTAGTTATGTTGATTGAATAGCTTCTATTCGGAGAAACATTCTGCATTCAATGGTAATAATGCCAATATTTCCAACAACAAACAAGTATACGTGTACAGAAATAAAAATATATGTGTATATATAAACAGCTATGTATATGTATCATGTTGTGAATGTAAATCGAAAATATAAAAACGGTATCTCTTTTTTTATTTAATTATTGCATTTTCTTAATCGTTAAAGCCGATATTAGTCAATCTACATATGCTATGAAAAACAAAGGTGTGAGAATAAAAGCTATCGCCATGTATTTTCGCGCATAGTACGGCGAACTCTAGTCTATCTGTGTAAAAGGAAGTTGGTAAAACACCTTTAAAACATGACGGGGTCATGAGCTGACATCAGTTAGAGGAGTATTGGAAAACCAGGGAGTACTGGATAGCTGTTTTGTCCTAGTTTGTGACTCTTCAGAGTACGCACCCACCATAGGGGTTCAACCCCAGGACAAGGCGAGTTAATAGACACTACCTAGCGGTCCATAAATTTCAACTTCTGCTAATTCTTGATATATGATTGGCGCAACTACCAACCAGTGTCACGTGCGAGTAACTATCCCCTTTTTGAAGATTCCCAAACTAGGGCGAAACGACTGTCTAATAATCCCAGGTCTTCCAGTGGTTCTCTAACTGATGTCAGATCGTGATCAGTCCTGTAGCCAATCAAATCTCTGCCAACCAACACTTTTAAAACATCAAAACGTAACATCTTATGTACAAAATTTTAGCGTATAATACACAGTCAAAAATCTGAAGAAACTCAAACAGTAAATGACTGCCTCCGCTCTACCTATACAGTTATACTGATATAAAAGCACGGCAAGTTTGATTTATAATGACTTGCATTCTTAGCTGAGAAAAATGAAACAAATTGTCCATACCATGGTAATACTAAAGTATACCGATCCACGCGAATGACCAATCAAATAACTGTCAATGGCTTTGCAGAGATATTTACAACACTTTGTAAATCGATATAAGTATAAAACTTGGGCACTGTGGTAGAGTAGAACTCCATTATAGATAAGATTTTATTTTGATACAGTAATATTAACTGATAATGTTTCGAGCACAAACTATTGCTCATAATCATATCAAGTTACTCACACAACTTTTTACCTTCATTTATATACATGAGTGAAACTGATGACTAGACATTTGAATAAAAATCAATATAGGATAATGTACATTCAGAAATAATAATATTAGTGTTACCAATTAAATACAGTCAGATGGGAAATAAGACGATTTTATAGTAAAATAAGTAACTTGTTAGAATGTTATGATGTACGTGAATTGAAATAGAATTTTAAGATTATTTATTATCCTCCTCTGATTTGACTGGTGGTAATAATATCTTCCATATCTCTGGTATTTGCGTTGAGTCATTTCTGTTGCATGTGTTGGGTGTAGGGAGACTCGATGAACCAGGCAGGATTCAGTAATCAGTCTCTCTTTACACCTACCTATATTATCTCTTAGAATTTTAACCCTCTCCCACCAACGTATTGTGTGGCTGTGTGTTGATGCATGCAGTGTAATTGCTGAGTTTTTTTCTAAATTACTCATCTGAATGGGATCAATCGTTCTAATCTTAGCGAAACTCTTATGTTCCGACAATCTGACTACCCCCGACCTACTAGTTTGACCTATGTAGTTGACCTCACTCACAGTCATTGCAAGGTATTTTGTAAATTATTCTATTTTGTCTAATTGGGTCAGCTGGGTCCTTTAACCTACAGAGCTTGTCCTATCTGAGTGAGTTTGTAGGTTTGAATGCCACCCTAATTCCTGCTTTATTAAGAATCCTAAATAGGGTCTCAGATGTCCCCTCCCTCCTTATTCGGTAGAACTGTAGATGCCTTATATTCTCTCTTATTTTATCATTATTGGTTTCACCATTATTTTATTTTGCTTTTGACCCTTTTTGATATTCCTAATGAATTTTATAGAATAGTTATTCAACACCAACGCCTCCTCCTGGTTTTGTTGATCTGTTCAATGGGAAGCCTACCAACCTCACCAAAGTATTATGAGGTCATTTTAAAACCCGTATTCCAGCAATAAATAGGTTACGAAATGACATGACATACGAACATTTCGATGATTTGATGTACAATAAGTGTTTTGAATTAACGTTAGGAACCCTAGTGACAAACTGGGGGACACTTTTAGCATACATTTATAGGATATTGCCATCATGTATAACTATTTCATTGCTGAAGTAATTTGTTTTTGTGGAGGTTTCTATCAAAATTACGCTTTGGTTATTCATAGTCATTTGATCAGTCGTTTCCTTCGATCTTTATACTTTTGTCTGCCTTACACGATCTATTTATACAGTGTCAATATTAAGAAACGTTAAGTTGAGTTCCACAGAGGCTATTTTCTGTGTACTGAAGATATATATATATGATCTGAAATAAACTTGTGTTCCAAAATTTCAACAAAGTATGTGTAACTTAAAGGTTTTATCAGAGACATGTACTGCGTAGATTACTGATGACAAGCAAACAAAAGACGACGTCAGACATTTCGGACGACTGACTACCAACGTTTGCTTTGATCTCTTCTTCACAACTGAAAAGAGCTTAGGAGAGAGGAAGGGAATTTGTATGAATCACATCAGAATGCTGGTGTTCAAAGAATTAACTCTGTAATTAAATCTGAAATACAAAGAACTAAATGGGATGTCTAGTGGAATATTTTGATCATATAAGAGTGCTGCTAACATCTGGAAACGTTTTAATCAGCTTACAAGCGGAAAACAAATTTGAGTTGATGCTTATCCTGATATAAATGCCATAAATAAATCTTTTATAATGCCACAAGCTAATATGACTGGATCTGATGTTTCTAGTCACGTAAATGATGTATTTTCATGTCTCAAACCCTTAGCTGCATCACACAGCCTAGGACCAGATGGTTTACCGAGCATTTTTCTGCAAAGATGTGCTGATATTTTGTCTCAGCCTCTTACACAAATCTTTAATGCATCGTTGCACAGGGATGCAGTACCTGCTGCTCAGAAATAAACAAAGGTGGTGCCTATACCAAACCATCTGGATCAGGTTCTCTATTTTTGAGAACTCTGAAGAAACTCCTCTTACATGTTCCTAAGCCTTCGTTGAAAACCTTCAGTGATCCAAAGCCGTTTGCTTACAAATGCAGTAGAAGCACTATAGAGGCTGCTGTTGTACACCACAATAAGGTTTTGAGTCTTGATAAAGGTGCAAATTTGTTCGAGTTTCCTTTACAAAATACACTGCTGCTTTTGATTCTATTCCCTGGGGCATTTTTACGAAGCAAGCTGAGTCCTGAGTCACAGCATGGCTGTCTTCTTATTTTTGGGTAGAAAACAACATACCGTTTTAAATAGAAAGCGCTCCACTTCGTTGCTAATGGAAACTGGTGTGCCTCAAGGCGTTGTACTCTCTCCATTCCTTTTTTCTTTTTGCATGATCTTCCGTATTCTTCGAAATCTAACTTCATTAAATATGGCTATAACCTAGTTTCTGTTTTGGATTGTTTTTATGCGAATAGATTCTTATCTGAGTTAAGTGGTCTTAAACTAAATCCATATAAATGTCACTTTGTTGATTTTAGTTTCAGATGCGAACAAGACTTGCGTGGACTGATTCAGTCTCACGATTCCTGTAATACTGACGGCACTGTGATAGGAAGTAAATCAAATATCTCCCGTCTGGGCATCAGCTTCTCTTCGAATCTATATTGGCCATTTCATATGATTGTTGATTTCTAAGAAAATCTTTCGTTTGACTTGTTAGATGAAGAAGTTGAGACTTTCTGGTATCATAACTCAGCCTCTTCTCTTACAATTCATTAATTCATGTATCCTGTCCATTCTTCTTTATTGTTCTCTCTTATTCTTCTCTGGACTTCTCCTAAAACACTATGTCATATTACATCGAATATTGAAGGCAGTAATTAGAGTTAGTAGTGTGCCTTTGACTCAACTAACTGACACTATTGTCAGTAGGCACTTCATTTCATGCAAGCAGTTGGCCAAAGTTATCTTGTTTGATTCTGAACATCCTCTTAATTCTCAAATTTCTCCTTGTATCACTTCAAGGGGTGAAACTAGAAGAAATTTCATATGAATTTACACTCGTACAACAAAATATAATAAATTCTACAATACCGTATTTAGCAGGGGTTTTTAATGAAGGGACAAATGTCGGAAAAGAGCTTGTAACTGAACTACAAAGTACAAGCAAAGATTATTATTACATGTATTTTTAAAAAATATTTTTTTTGATTATAGCTTAATTCCACACAGTATTTTGGTACAAGTATGGAATTTTCAGCATGTGATATCGGTAGCCCGAGTTTTGCAGGTCGACCAATTGATATCAAGTGTGCGTCTGCAGGGGATCGAACCCCGGACCATGTGCATGGTTGGCGAGAGTCCTAACCTCTGTGCTACCGACGCACATGTTACGCCAAGTTTCAGATTTCTTTGTAGTTTTATGACTTTCCGTTATTTTATGTATCTACATATTTATAAAAGGAGCTAAATTATTGCTATATATATACATATATATACGCTGAAAATTCAATTCTCTATAATTATTATTTTGAGGAATAAGGTGATTATTACTATTATTTGTCAAATAAACACATACATCAGAAATCAGTTTTCATGAAACCGTATCTAGACTGGTGCATGTCTCTTCCATATTTTTTTCCTTCACGTTCCTCAGTGGAACATAGGGCTTCAAGCTAGTGGCCTGAAGTTTCTTTAGCAGTGTTTATTTTTAC